GAGTATCCAGAGTCCCAAAACACCACCACATTTTCAAGCTCATTTGGCAAACTCTTGGAAACACAAGAACAAGAGATTGAAGATGGACGAGCCTCTAAGACTTTTTTTGCAACACCTTGTAACAAAACTAAATGAAGATAGAGAAGTAAGAAATGCTGAAATCCTCAAAACGAAGGATCAGTTGTGTGAAATAGAAAATCTGTGTCTGGAGTCTCAGCAATTAAAAGAGAAAAACTGGCTTCTGCAAAGCCAGCTGGATGATGTTAAAAGGCAGGACAATGGTGTTTCCCTGTCCACTCCCTAATCTATACAGCAATCAGAGTCATCCAGACAATCAATAGCTGAAGAATGGATATGAAGAGGAGATTGTCAAAGAAAGACTTGCTAAAAATAAACTTATTGAAGAAATGCTGAAAATGAAAACAGACCTAGAAGTAGTCCAAAGTACCCTTCAGAGTAAGGAGAAGGTCTGCCACAGGATGAGTGAGGAAGGTGAGAGAACCAGAACTTCGGAGGCTAGAACATTTCAGGAAAAGGAGCAGCTGTGGTCAAAATTGGAAGAAATGTATGAAGAAAGAGAGAGAACTTTCCAAGAAATGGAAATGTTGAGAAAGCAACTGAAGTATCTTTCTGAGGAAAATGGAAAATTGATAGGTCATCAAAACCTACACCAGAAGATTCAATATGTAGTGTGACTCAAGAAGGAAAATATCATGCTTGCTGAGGAGATGCTGCCAGCTGCCACCATGAGTACCAACATGTAAGAAACTGGTAAGCCACGAGCCATGTGGCAAGGTATAGACTTATAGAAATGGGTTAATTTAAGATATAGGAACTAGATAACAAGAAGCCTGAGCCATTAGGCTAAACAGTTTAAATAATGGTAAGTGTCTGTGTGTTTATTTTATAAGTGAGCTGTGGGACTGCCGGGGCTTGGCAGGAGCTGGAGAGAAACTCCAGCTACAATCAAACTGAACTGTTAGTAGAAAAGCTGTTTTAGTTATATTAACAAGTTTTAAATATCATCTTTAAAATAATAAGCAAAACTTATTGGACTCCACAAAATAGGATAAATAGTGGATTTTTTTCTGAGTCTGTCAAACGTTAATGGACTGGACATTATTGATGTAATTCTTGGCTTTTTATATTGTAAATAGTTATTGTACTTATCGTGTATAGTTTTTCTTATATTAGTTAATAACCTTCTTTTTATCATTTTAGACCAAAAAAAGGGAAATGTGATATTTTGTTGTACTCTAATAAAATTTGCCTGAAGATCAGAGGACAGAGCCAGCCACTAGATTAAACATAGAGATCAGAAAGTGGTGGCACTCAACTTTAATCCTAGCATTCCAGAGGCAGAAACCCATCTGGATCTCTGTGAGTTCAAGGCCACCCTGGACTGCAGGAGATTAATCTAGTCTAAAAGAAACAGAACCAGACAGTGGTGTGTAGCATGAATCTTAAAAGTTCTTATTAATAAAATCAAACCCAAGGCCAGTTATTGCGGTCAATGCTGGTAGATCAGAGAGACAGAACAAGCCACAGCTACCTCACCTTGCCGGATCCTCAGCTGGTCTTGTTCCTCTGACTGGAGGCCTCTGAGTCCTCATCCAGACAGAATGGGTCTCAGCTGAACTGCTGCTCAAAAGCCTGAATGCTTAACCAGCCAAATGCTTCTAGTTTCTGGTCTCCACGCCTTATATATCTTTCTGCTTTCTACCACCACTCCCCGGGATTAAAGACTCGGCTTTCTGGGATTAAAGGCGTGATGAGTCACGATGCCTGTCTGTATCCTTGAACACATGGATTTCTGCCTCTGGAATGCTAGGATTAAAGGCGTGTGCTACCACTGCCTATCCTCTATGTTTAATATTGTGGCTGCTCTGTCTCTGACCTCAGATAAGTTTATTAGCATGCACAATATTTGGGGGAATACAATACCACATTTCCTCTCTTTTTGTCTAAAATTTAAAAAAGCTTATAACTAATACAAGAAAAATTATATCCAGTAAGTATATACAATATATACAGTCAAGATTACATTAACGATGTCTAGTTTATTAATATTTGACAGATTCAGAAAAAACTCCATTATATATATTAACAATGTCTAGTCCAGTAATATCTAATAAACTCAGACCAAAAAATTTTCATTACTTATCTTATTTAAAACAAGTAGTTCCTTTTTAAAAGTAGATTCCATAATCTCCCTTTTTATCTTATCATATCCATATTCTCTCCTTTTTCTTTTCATAATACATTCAGTAGTCTACCTTTTGTCATTTTTATATCTTCCCCTTTTTCTTCAGTGTAGATTCAGTGATCTACCTATTTATCCTATTATTTCTTTATCTTTTTTCTCAGAGTAGATTCAACTGCATATGGAGTTAACTTTCATTGTGGCAAAAGTTAGCCACTGGACAACAAAGTATCCTCGAATCAACAGGACAAAATGGACAGACAGGACACGAAAAAAAGAACTACTGATTCTTGCCAAAACAACTGTGGTTATGGCTTTATCAAAAGGCATCTTCTGAGGCCAAGACAATATGGCACCATCCGTGAAGTGGCCTTCGCAATCCGGAAAAGGTACAGTGCCCTTTTCTTCGAAGGCAGCTGAACAGGCAGTGGGCTGATGGCTTCTGATGTGCAATGGAACAGCAGCTGAAACAGTTATTCTTGAAGAGTAATTAAGCTCATGCCTCTCAATAGAAGATTGGCATTTAATAGAGGGATGTGGAGAAGAATGGGATGCTCAGATGAAGCCATATATACACAGCCAAGAAAAATGGACAGCTGAATTAAAAAACCGTCAACAATTTCCAGAATTTAAAATTCTGAATCATGACATGACACTAATGGAATTCAGGTGTTTCTGGTACATGGACTGCTCTCACCCAATGTGAGGTTGAACTGTTGACCTTGTGTACATCCTACTTCACAAATGAGTCTGTCAGATACGCTAAGCCTATAGGCTGAAGATGATGCCCCAACACTGCAAAGGAAACCTCAGGTGACTGTCCAAGCAGCTGGCTGTTTCTGTCAACTTACAAATTTTTTGGAAGTTGCTTGCATGCACTTCCTGTTTTTATTTTTGTTAGCTAATATTATTTCCTTCTTGGGTCTCTGAGGGAGTTGAAGATTAGTTAGTTATAGTTGAAGATTAGTTAGTTATAGTTGAAGATTAGTTAGTTATAGTTGAAGATTAATTAGGATAGGAGTGAATTATTTTCTCTGAATTTGTCAAATACAAATGGACTAGACATTGTTTAGGTATTTATTACTTGTAAATATTGTATATAGTTATTGTACTTTTATATATAGTTTTTCTTATGTTAGTTATAAGCTTTTTCCTTTTTTCTTTTTATTAAAATAGAAAAGGGGAACTATGGTGGTATTTTATTTGTACTGAAATGTGATTTTAATTGTATGTTAATAAATAAAGTTAGCTGGGGGTCAGAGCTATTAGAGCCATAGCAAGAGCGTGGCAGTGGTGGTGCACACCTTTAATCCCAGCACTTGGTAGGTAGATCTCTGTGTGTTCAAGGATACAGCCAGCATTGGAGACACATGCCTTTAATCTCAATACCATAGAAGACCTGAAGGGCTGTACAACAGACAGTGATGAGGCAGTCATGTGGTTGGTTTTACAACCAATGAGAAGGCAGAACAGAAAGTCTATATAAAGACAAACAGACAGGAAGTAGGTCTCTTTCAAAGAGGTCTCTTGGCTGAAGAGGCTAGCTGAAGCAGGTGGTAAGGCTCTTAGCTCTGATCTCTTGGCTTTCTTCTTTGCATTGGTTCTGTGTTTCTTATTTAATAAGACGGTTGGTTACATCTACATTGGTGGTACATGATCCCAGCACTTGAGATCTCATGCCTTTGCTACCAATATTTGGGAAGGACACATACACTTGATCCCAGCACTAGGAAGGTTGAGACAGGAAGTGATTTAGCTAGGTGGGGAAAGGAATATAAGGCAGGAGGAACTGAGACCCTTTAGGCTGAGGACTCATAGGCATTCAGTCTGAGGATTCATGGAAACAGGATCGGCTGAGGATTTGGTGAGGTGAGAAGTGATGGTGGCTTGTTTCCTCTTATCTTTCAACATATACCCTAATATCTGGCTCCAGATTTTTATTATAAGACCATTTAGAATTTGTGTAATAAGTGACTTATATCTTGATTGGGTGTTGTCACTATGTGCAATGAGCTGGAAATGCTGAAATACATAGGAAGGGAATCCAGGAGACTTGGCATGAAGTTACAAGTATGCTCAAAAACAGTGACCACCCTACCTGAATGTTTTCTGCTTTTCTTTTTCTTGGGGTATAGGTAATACATGGGGGACACTGGACAGACAACTACAAAGACAATGACCAATGACTCAATTTCTGATTGTATTTATGGCCTTCTCTACAAGATGGAAATCATGTCTGATGCTTTGGCTAATGAGATCATTGGTCCCAGAGGAGAATCTGATATATATATATATATATATATATATATATATATATATATATATATATACACTAACTTCTAGTGAGTTGTTATGACACCCATAGATTAGTACATCTCAAGACCTTCATCAGAGAAGCTTCTTTTTGCATGAGACAGTGATTAAACAGACCCACCACAGGTAAACATACAGAAAAGACAGACTACAGAGGATCCAGCCCTGAATGGGACATCTGGATATCATACCCCTCCTCTCAAGGACCAGGGATCAGATCCTGATGAAAGAGAGGCTGGAGAGATTCTAAGCTTCCTGAGAAATGTCTGGCAAGAGCTCACTGGAAAGGGCATATTAACTATATCATAGTACTGACATCAGGGCAGTATCCACAAAGCCTAGGAGGAAAGGCGGTCCTCTCCTACAGAACATAATAAGCTTTAGCATAAGGACTCATGTCCTAAGTACTGATGTGTCAAGTATGTACATGTTCAAGAAGGAACACAAGGAAAATTTCCCTCTCAGATAAACACAATTCACTCACCAGCATGAACACAAAGTAGATGGTCACCAACAGTGTTGGCACACCCATTGCACTCTCTCCTGCTTTGAAACACAGTGGCAGGGAACTGGCAGAATAAGCCAACATCATGATGGTAAATAACATAGTGAAGAAACCGTTCACATCTGTTTTTACTCCTTAGAAAGAAAAAAAAGTGGGGTCAGTTCATCTACCTAACTCAAGTGAATTGTACATATTTCAAATAATACTTTAATAATCAAAATGACTAGTTACTGCTTCATAGCCACCCAACTTCCCTGGGTTTCCAACCGCTACCCAATCATGTGGGTGCTGGGAAACAAATTTGGGGACTTTGGAAAAGCAGCAAGTGCTCTTAACCAATGAGCCTCTCTCCACCCCCATCATATGGCTTTATTATAGATGTAACCAACCGTCTTATTAAATAAGAAACACAGAAACAATGCAAAAGAGAAAGCCGAGAGGTCAGAGCTCAGAGCTAAAATCTCACCCTTCCGCCTGCGGTGTCCCAGCTTCCCGAATGAGGGTTCTATTTCCTGTCTGTTCGTCTATTTAAAGTATTTTGTTCTGCCTTCTCATTGGTTGTAAACCCAAACACGTGACTGCCTCGTCACTGTCTGAATGTATAGCCCCCTAGGTCTTAAAGGCATATGTCTCCAATGTTGGCTATATCCCTGAACACACAGATATCTATGGGATTAAAGGCATGTGCCACCACCGCCACACTCTTGCTATGACTCTAATAGCTCTGACCCCCGGACAACTTTATTTATTAACATACAATCAAAATAATATTTCAGTACAATTAGATTACCACCACACTTTATTTTTATACTTGTCACAAAAATACCTTTCCATATAATACCTGTTCTCCTCTATGCATAATTATGAGCAATTTATAGGGTCCTGACATGGAGAGGACAGGCAACACAACTGGCCAAAAAAATTACTGCATTCTCTTACAGGAGAATCAGCAATAGAACACGTTCATGTCCTCATTTCCCTGTGTTTATTATAATTGTATTAGTAGTGAAATTGAGATCAGGACTATGGTGGTTAATTTTTGTCAGTTTAACACAAGCTAGCGTCATAAGGAAAGGGGGAATCTCATTTTTAAAAAATGCTTCCATTAGACTGGCCTGTAGGCAAGCCTGTGGGGCATTGTCTTGATGAATGATTTACGTAGGAGGTCTTAGACAACTGTGGATGATGCCATTCCTGAGCAGGTGGTCCTGGGTTCTATATGTAAGCAGGCTGAGGAAGCCATTAGGAGCAAGCCAGTAAGCAGCACTCCTCCATGGCCTCTGCTTCACTCCCTGCCTCCAGGTTCTTGCCCTGAGCTCCTGACCTGACTTCCCTTCTTGAAGTACATTGAACTATAAGATGAAATAAATCCTTTCCTCCCCAAGTTGGTTCTGGTCATGGTATTTATTATAGTATTAGAAACCTAAGGCAAGAATTAAACAACCTTGCAGTGGTTTAAATATATAGAGGAGAGGAGGTGCCTCCAAGTTTAGTTTTCTGCTGAGAGTGCATAGCAATGGCTTTGCCAGAGGCCACAAGAATATACAGCAGATGACAACGGATAGTTCAGGTGTAAACCCACCAGACCAGGTGTAAACCCACCAGACGAATAACTCTCTGATAGAGGGATCTCATTAAGCAAGGCTTACAGGACCACAGACTCTGAAAACTGGGTGCCTCTGTCTGTAATTTTTCTCTTGTTCTGCTACATTTCTTCCCTAAAAAACAGCTATGGGGTTCTTTCCACAGCCCACTGTTGGTGTGGTTTGCACTTTTGGGACACAAAAAGTGGATCGTCAGAAAGATGATTTCTTCTTAAGCTGTATAATGAATAGAAATATACTAGGATATGCTTCATAATTAGATCTATTATTCCATGAGGACTGTAAGATACTTAGGTCTTGTTTCTTTATCACTAGCTCGGCCTGACATAAAACAGCAATTTCTTCTCAGTTCTAGACAAGTTGCATACAATTAGCTTATTTTAAGCCTCAAAACAAATTCAAACTAGACTAAAGGCCTCACAAGTTAAATCTTCACAGATAGTACACAAGGACAAATTCCCAGAGGTCTAATTGTGGAACCAAGGTCACACACAAAGCAACTTTGATGCCAGTTATCAGCTTGCTGAGTCTGGCTTTTAAGGACCTACTCCATACAAAAATTCCTCAGCAGCTTGTCATGGTTACTCCCTTCCTCAGATGTACCTTTTTTACTTCCCATGGGGTGGATATAAGAGCATACAGAACAAAAATGGAGAAGAAGAACTTGAAAGAAAATAAAGCAAATGGTCTGGTCAATGCGTGTGTGAGTCTTATTCCCTCAGATAAATAAGAATTATTCCTAAGTCCCACTACTATGAAGAAATTCTTTTTACTACCCTGGGTGCAGTCCTAAGAGCTGGTCTCTCAGGCTGCAGTAGTTTTCTCTAGGAAATCACCATGTACCTGCTATGCAGGGAGGCAATGGGTTCCACAAGCTGATTTGTAATCTTCATAGAGTTAATGCTATGGGTTATGCACAGTCCTATGTTTTTATAATAGTCCCAAGGGCACAGTTAGGGTCTGGGGGAGATGAGTTCCGTGCCTAATTGTTTGTTATGATTATCATGGTGTGTATAGTATAAGTGTGATTATGGGTCTGCATGTATCATAATGTACATGTACCTTGGTGTGCATGTGCCATGGTGTGCATGTGCCGTGGTGTGCATGTGTTGTGGTGTGCATGTGTTGTGGTGTGCATGTGCCATGGTGTGTATGTGCTGTGGTGTGCATGTGCATGGTGTGTATATGGAGTTGAAGGACAAACTTCTCCAGTCATTCTCTCTTCCACTGTGGATTCTGATGATCAAATTCAGGTTGTCAGGCTTGCAGGACAAGCACATTTCCCATGACCTAAATGACTGGTCCTGAATGAGAAATCTCTTATAAAACAAAGTCTAAGCTTTATCATTGCTTACCTTAGTGTGTGTAAGTGTGTGTGTGTGTGCACATGTGTTGAAAGTATGGAAATTCTGAACATTAAGTCTAGGGTGAAGCTTAATCATAATGCACAAATAAATTTGTGTATGTATTTCATATAACTATATTGTATAATTTCAAAAAATATCAAACTCAGTATCTTCTCTCTTTGTAAGATTAGGTAGCATGAGACACTGTATACATTTAAGTTCTCTTGCACATATACATATATGTGAGAGATTATCCACTTTTCTATATTTTATTCACATATACAGACACTTACACAGAAACACAGAGAAAATATACAACTGGACTAGAGAGATGGCTCAGTGATTAAAGCATGTACTGTTATCTCAGAAGCCTCTGAATTCCATTCCCAGCACCTACATAGTGGTTCACATTCTGTAACTCCAATTCAAGGGGATCTGATGTCCTCTTCTGGCCTCCACAGTCACTGCATTCACTTAGTGCCCCACTCCCACCCCCACACACAAAGGCAAACACACAAATAAAGAAAAAAAATAATCTTTAATAATACCTATGGATAGATATCTAATAATTGATCTTGCTCCATTGACACTGTCTCAAATGTACAACTTAAATAATTCATTGTAATACACAGAACCTCTAGGAAAAACAGTTTCATAAACAGCTCTTGTAGTATTTTGTGAACATGTCTTGAAGACTTTCCCCACAATGAACACCTGTTTTAGATGGCACACACTGGAGATGTACTTTTCTACTCATGCTTTTCTACTTTAGACTTGCCACAGTTGTACAAACCAAACCGTGCTCCCCCGAGAGTAAAGACACTCTCTCTTGCTTTGTCACTTACCTGCTATGCTGACTACTATAACAGTAAATATAATACTTGGCAATAACCTCCTGGGTACCAGCTCAGCCAGCAACTTCCCAAGGAAATATGGTAACACTCTGTAGTATCCACTGGTATGCTCATGTCTACAGAGACAAAGATGACATTATACATCCTTAGATTAGTCCAGAAGACACAAGTGAGATGCTGGCTACCCTGACTTCTGCCTTGACAGGGAGCCTCACAGGACAGTGTCCCCTGTGCTTTAGGCTGACTCCCATACATGTCCCCATCTTAGGGACCAGCATCCCCAGGCCAGCATCCTGATGACATTCTCACTAGGATTCTCCCCATCAGAGAACTCTCCCCTGTTTTGCCCACTCTGGTCACACAACAGCCCCTCCAGGGAAACAGCCTGATGTGTCCACTCTCCTCAAAGTCTCTCCCCCTATGAAGCTGGTTCCCTGAGGAGCAGCTCATTCCTACCTCATCTCAGACAGTGGTCATGGAGACTTCTCTCCTCCAGTTCTCATGAAGAAGGTGACACTGTCACTCTGAGGTCACAGTGCAGCTTCAGGACACTACATCCTTCTTTCCAGCTACTCACACTTAGGACAGATGTATTCCTTCAATAATCTTTCTTTACAACTGTGAATCTTTACCAGATACCAAACCTGATCCTTTCCCTTCCTGGCCTTCAAGATCCCAAGCTCTTCCCCTCCAGTGTCCTCATTGCATCTCCGATTTTTTTAACTCAGCATCACCAGTGCAAGCTGGCCTTAAACTTCATATGTAGCCTAGAATGATCATCCTCCTGCCTCTACCTTAGCTCCAAATGCATGGATTACAGAAAAAAACAGCCATGCTCAGGGTTTTTTGGTACTGTGAATCTAACACAGGATTTCATGCACACAAAGAAAACACTCTACCAACTTAGAGAGGCCCTCAGCTCTCCACTGATGACTCCTTTTCTTGGCATGAACTTGGAGACAAGTCTTGGCCATCTTTGAGAGCAGTGAGTTTTAACCATAGGCCTTGAGGGAAAGGTTCTTCCAGGTTTGAAAAACACAGGAGATAAACAGCCCTTTTCTACACAGCTGCTGTCTGGCTCTTTCCAGCTCCCCATCTAGAGGAGACTCTCATTCTTGTGTAGCTGTGCCTCTCCAACCCCAATGTGCTGCTGAACCCACCACACTTAAGCTCTATGAAACCCTGACATCTTTACTGGGGGGGGTCATGAATTTCCTGTTATTTTCAACCCCTACTATTGCATTGTCTGCAGCACTGAGATCTAGTGGTCTCACCCAAATTTGAAACTTTCCCTGAGCAGTAGACACCTCTGTTACTGATTTCCCATCCATTTTTCAGGATGGGAATTACTAATTAAGGTAATATTAGTAATCTCTCTACATACTTCAAAAATCATGATACCACATGATAAACACAAAATTCCATAGTTTGTTTATTTTCAACTAAGAAAAAAGGGGGAATTACTGGTAATTTGTGACATAACATTCTAGGCCCAACGATGAATGTAATTAATTGAACACCTGCCCCTGATGCCTGCTCCTAGAGCAGGGGCTACTCACAGAAAGCGATCCTTGTCAATCACAAAGAACTCACAGGCAGACATACTTATGATAATCTGGAGGATTGTGAGCGAGAAGAGCAGGCCAGCTCTGCCAGGAGAGAATGGAGGCAAAAGCAATGATAAATTCAACATTAGGATGGTTTCTTTCTCTCTCTTTCTCTCTCTCTTTCTCTCTCTTTCTTTCTCTCTCTCTTTCTCTCTCTTTCTTTCTCTCTTTCTTTCTCTCTTTCTTTCTTTCTTTCTTTCTTTCTTTCTTTCTTTCTTTCTTTCTTTCTTTCTTTCTTTCTTTCTTTCTTTCGAGACAAGTTTTCTCTGTGTAGTTTTGGTGCCTGTCCTGGATATCACTCTGTAGACCAGGCTGGCCTCAAGCTCACAGAAATCTACCTGGCTCTGCCTCCGAGTGCTGGGATTAAAGGTGTGAGCCACCACCACCCGGCTGCTTTCTTTCTAATACACCTTGTTATGTAGATTAAATAACATTACATAGATTTTTTATTTTAAAAAAAGTAGTACTGGAGATATGGCTAAGAAGTAAAGAGTGCTTCTTGCTCTTGCAAAGCACCAGGTTTGGTTGGCAGCACCCACATGGTGGATCACAACCATCTGTCACTCAAGTTCAAGGGGAGCCCGTGCTACCTAGTTTATGTCAACTTAACACAAGCTAGGGTTATCTGAAAGTAGGGAACCTCAATTGAGAAAGATAAGATCCAGTTGTAAGGCATTTTCTTAATTAGTGATGGATGGGGAGGACACAGCCCACTGTGGATGGTGCATCCCTGAGCTGGTGGTCCTGAGTTCTCTAAGAAAGGAGGCTAAGCAAGCCATGGAGAGCAAGCCTGTAAGCAGCACCCATCCATGGCCTATGCAGATTCCTGCCTGGTTTGAGTTCCTATCCTGACTTCCTTCAGTGATGGAATATAATGTGGAAAGGTAAGCTGAATAAACCCTTTCCTCCTCAACTTGACCTATGGTCATGTGCTTAATCAGAGCAATAGTAACCCAAACTAAGACAGAAAACAATGTCTCTTTGTGATAGTCAGAGGTCTCAGGGAAAACACATGGTACACAGACATACATGTAGGCAAACACCCATACACATACAAATAATATACATATTTTAAAAAAAAGAAAGATGGAAAATGTATAACTAAAGATCAGAAAGTATGAGTCTCATGAGATTTTCTTCTCTGTCTCCATAGCGGTATCTATTAATTGAAGTGTGTTCTCTGAAATCCAACAACTGGATAATGATCCTTAATGTAATGATCTTAGAGTATGTAATTAAATTGGTTTTAGATGAAATCATGAGAGTGGAGCCCCATAATGTCATCTGTGTCCTCATCATGGGAAGAAACAGCAATGCAGTGTCTGCCAGGAGAGGGCTGAGAGAAGGTGGCCAGACAGGAAGAGCCTGGGAGAGAATCATCACCTCAGGCTCTCACACTGCAGTGTGGAGACACATTTGCTTTTAAATCCACCGATTCTGTGATATTTAGTCACTATAGCCCAGCCTATCACTTCAGTTTCACTAACAAAGTTGGTAAGCATCATTCCTAATTTATAAATAGAGGAACATAAAGATTAATAAAACTCCAAGGAGTTTTCATATTCGGTTGGCTGTGTTGATTTACATACAGCAGAGGACCTGAGAACTCTGTAACTAAACATTGAATGGAAGAGCTGGACACTCCATGAGCAAACATGGAACAGAGGACCTTGTTTTCAAGGCTTTACTCTACTAAATGCACAACTTTTCATTCTTCCATTCTCACATACACCTGTTCCCTGGTACTCAGAGCATTTCCCCTCTCTCCATCTCCAATAAATTTTCCTTGAATTACATGTGTTTACTTCCATGTTTCATTATCAAAACCAAGAACTTAGAAAGAGAACCTTATGGGCCTGGCTATACTTAACCATATATACCACATCTACTTTCTCATCTGACTTTTTAGATATTATAATTGTAGATTGACAACCTATAGCTACACATTTAAGGTATAAAAATAACATAATTCATAAACAATTTTGTGAAATAATTATATCAAGCTAAATTAGGTGATGTCCATCACTACAAATATACATCATTTTAAAGGTAATGCATTAGAAATGTAGTCTCAGAAACTTTGAATGTGTGTTAATATTGCTGGATGGAATGTGATGGACAATTTATCTCAAAGGAGAAAAATCTTACTTGTCCTGTTTATCAGATTTTACACTTTCAGCCCATATGTTTCCTCACTCCCCACTGCTCTGGCAAAGTGTACACTATGCTGCCCAGAGGTCAACTGCTTTATAATTCACATGTAAGTGAAACATGTTTGTCTTTCTGGGTTTGAATTATTTTACTTTGCATGATAGTCTTCAAATTTTCAATTCTATCCATATTGTTACAAATTCCCATTTTAAAGATAAGCAGCATCCTGAGTCATATTTTCTTTACCATTTATATATTAGTAGACACTTAAATTCCTTAACTTGGTTACTGTGCATAGTGCTCCAGTGAATATCAGACTTCACATTCATTTTGGGCAAATTTTTTTAAATAGGCATGTAAGCATGCACAGGATAAATGTCTGTTCCCAATTATTTCTTTCAATGCCTTCTCCTCAATGTTTGGCTGCCACCTCAACCCTATAATGCTGTTGAGTCAAAGGAGCTCACATGCCACAAAATTCAAACCAAGATCCTAGTTTTACAGTTAGACAAAATACAAAGGCTTTGCTGGATCCAAACATGAGAAGCATCTCTGACTTCCTGAACATTACTAATGAAGTAAATACTGATATTGACCCTCAGATTAATTTAGCAGCTTTATTCCATGGATGATGTTGAGAAATTGTTTCAAACTATCCTACTTAGGTTTCTTTTACTGTGGTAAACACCCTGACCAAAAGCAACTTAGGGAGAATGGGATTTATCTGGCTTATATATCTCAGGTCACAGTCCGTCCCTGATGAAAGTCTGACAGGAATTCAAGGCAGGATCTTGGAAGCAGGGATGGAAGCTGGGACCACTGAGGCATGTTCCTTACTGGCTGGCTCCTCATGGCTTGCTCAGCCTGCTTTCTTATACAACTCAAAATCACCTGCCCAGAGGTGGCACTGCCCACAGTGGGCCAGCCCTTCCCACATCCATCATTAATCAAGAAAACGTCCCACAGACTTGCCTACAAATCAACCTGATAGATGAATTTTCTTAATCAAGGCTCCTTCCCACATGATTCTGGCTGTTGCCAAGTTGACAAAAAACTAACCAGCACACTAACCAAAAGAATCAACCACTAATTGGGACGACTGAAAGAAACCATACACAAAGGCCATTGTCACACAGTACAACTTCTTATAAAATACTGGTAGCAGACAAAGCAAAATATACAAATTAATGGCATTTCACAATTTCTAAAATTAATATGAAAAAACAGCTAAGAGAGCTCTTTTTTATGTCTGTATTTTCCAAGAACATTTGCACATCAGGTTTTTCAGAGCTTATGTCTGAATGCTTCCTGCGACAGTGTCTACACTGTCTATTTGTTGTCTGTGTTCTTCTGGGTTAAGATGTGCTGTCTACACAGGGCACAAACTAACAGATTTGGAAAGCATTCAGACCCTGGTCATCAGGAAGGTAAAAAGAGGGCAGACAGAAACAGATGGACCAGTCACCTCACTGCAGACTAACTTCTGACTCACACAGAAGGCAATTCATAGAAGAACTGATTTTTATGTTTATTCTTATCTTCAAAATTAATAGTGGAGCTGGTCCATTCAGCAACAGGTCTGGCATGCAGCTATGAGGACCTGAGTTCAAATGTCTAGAACACGTGTAAAAGTACGCAGGCACAGTACTTCTCATCTGTAACTCCAGTGATGAAGGGTACAGAAGTGGATGTTTGGAGCTCATTGGGCAGTCAAGCTAGCAAAGTCAATGAGCTCGAGATCCAGTGAGGGACCTGCCTTGTAAAAGAAAGTGGAGAGTCATCAAAAAAAAAAACAAAAAACAAAAAACAAACAAACAAAAAAAACCTGGCATCAACCTCTGACCTCCATATGCAGACACATGCATGCTCACCAACACAAAACTGGACATATAACACCTCTCTGTCTCTATGTCTCTCTGTCTTTCTCTCTCTCTACCCCTCTCTGTCTATCTCTATAGAAGCTTCCTGAAATTCTTAGTCATCTTTCCGTAATTGTCAAGCCTCTATGGCTATTGGGAAGTACCCTGAGGCTATGGGTGTCAGGCAGGAGGCCCAGTTGAGGAAACACTGTCATAAATAAATTACAGTGAAAATTGTGATTCTGATGAGACACTGTGTTTGGAACATGCTTTAGTCATTAAAAAGGTTTAACATGAAAGGATATCTTTAAAGCCACATTATAACTCAAATTAGACAAGGACACAAAGGTGACATCTATAAGACAAGTCAGGAAAAACTGAGTCCCATCCTATTACCTCACAGTCACATTCAAACAAACCAAATATGTTCAAGAAAATTGGCACCAAAGAAACAAAAGAAGAATAAATAGGTAAACTAAAAACATTTATGTACCAAGAGCATTATAAACAGAATAAAAAGGCAATACACAGAAGGGAAAAAGTGCATGTTGGTCATATATCTGGTGGGGGATTCACATCTCAGAAATAAAAATCACTGTAACTCAACAGCAAGGAAAAATGAGGGCCAGTGAGAGGGTTCAGCAGGTAAGATGACTGCCACCAAGCTTGATGACCTTGAATACAATCCTGAAACCCATGTGGTGGAGGGATCAGCTCTTGTAAACTGTTCTCTGACCTCCACATGCATGCTGTGGGACACGCATACCCTCACACAAATACACAAACTAAAAAAATAATTAATTTGGAATGAAAAGAAAACTTTTATATTTAAAATGGGAAACTGCAGTCACTTCATAAACATCCAATGAAATATGATTTATTTTTCTTAGATATCTTATTCAAAATAAGAAAGAACATAAGTGTGCATGATGTGGACATACTGGAGCCCTTGGGTTGTGCTGGTGAGGATATAAAATAGTACAGTGCAGTTGGAGTCAGGGTGGCAGTTCCTAAACAATTAACCCAATGGTTGTGATTTGGCAACTTTCTACCTTAAAGAGCAAAAATCCAGAGCTCAAACCAATGTACTTGCACACTCAACAGCATGGTTAAGAGCAGCGAAAGGTGAGAGCAAACCACATTTCCAGCCACAGATGAACGGGAAACAACACAGCACACACACACATTGGACTATTATTCTGCCTTACAGAGCCCAAGAAATCCACACACATGCCACACTTTGATGAACCTGAGGGCATTACACTAATGAAAACAAGCCACCTAAAACAAACAAAAACAAAGCCAAAAAACAACAAAACACAGATACTAGTGTGACTCCAATTCCTGGTTCCCATATTAGTCATATTCAATGACAGAAAGTAGAATGGTTGATGCCAGGAATTGGGAGTGGGTAGTGTGTGGAGTCTTCTTTCAGACCTATCGGATTCCATTTGGGAAGAAGAAAAAAAAATGCCCTACATTTAGATTATGGTGAGCGTCATATAACATGAAGCTACTCCATACACTAAAACTGTGTATGTTTCATCTAACATATACATGTGAAAAAGTGAGTTTCTTCTACTTAGCCTTCAATGTAACAACACACTCTATCACATGGCAAAATGTTTACTCTGTTCTTGTCACAAATTCCAATTTTTAATTGATTTATATAAGCTTGAGCAAAGTAACAGCATTTTTTCAAAATCAGGCTCCAAATTTGCTTACCTGGTCTTGGCTTCAGTACAATCATTCCTTAGGAAACGAAAAATGATGCCCACAAACACGGCCACTATGATTGTGATCATTGCCTTTCAAAAAGAAAACAGTGAAAAGAAAAAAATTCCATTAGAGTAGAAAGTATTCTACGCATTGTCCATTATTTAACACACACACACACACACACACACACACACATATATATATATATATATATATGTGTATATATATATATATATATATATATATATATATATATATAGTTTCCTAATCAAATCTCTCCAGTGAGAGAAACACTGTATTTTGGCCAGAGTCCCTAGAAGAATATGAAACACACATGTTAACAGACTGCTTGTGTGTTAAACTGAAAACTAAGGTCTCTGCAATCTGAGGCTCTGACAGCACAGACCCTGGAAAAGCTAAGACTTCTCCCAGTGCTCCACCAGGAACAGCCAGTGAAGGGCTCAGTTCAGGTTCTGAAACATGAATGACACAGGGTGGAGAGAAGGCAGGCACCTGGGGAGGTTAGGGGACAAACCAAAGTAAGAGACAGCGTTCACCTAAACTGAGATCTCAACTCTGGTGCAGCGAACATGTGCAGTTTCTACTTCAAGTGCTTTAAAGAACTCAGGCTTTCTTTATTCTTTAGTTAGAAACAAGTTCACCCAGGCCAGGGGACAGCTCAGTGGCAGAGCCCTGCACAGCAGACACCAGACCTAGCCCTGATCCCCTCAACTGCAAACCAAATAACAAAACTGAAGATGACTCACAACCCAGTTCCTGGCTGTGGGATTTTGTGTGCTAAGAAGGGGTGAGCTGGTCCTCACTGTGTCTCCTCTGGGAAGTCTGTGCCTGTGTGGGAACGAGCACTATTGCTGTCACCACAGTGTTCAGACAGCGTCCTCTGGGTCACCTGATACCCCATTGCCCCTCATCTCTGTCACTGCTGCTCCATCAACCTCAGCCAGGGCGGCCTGTGCTCAAGTCTCATCTAAGCTGCCAACTCCTCCAGACCCTCATCTACCTCCATCCACTCAGTCTGTGCAGACGGTAACAAGGACCTGCACTGCTTTGGTTTGGGGTTAAAATGGCTTTAGAGGATGCTTCACTTAGGAAAGGAGTAAGGCTACATGATGCTGTAACTTATTTGAAGGAGTCTAACTATTATTCCTCTGATGATGTTTTAAAAGTAGAATATTATGATCTAAGGGAAAGTATCCTTACATGTAACCTGATAAATTAGAAACCAAAATCCCAGGGCTTGGAGATAAGCCTCAGCAGTTAAGTGCACTTGCTGCTCTTGCAGAGGACCTGGGATTTAGTTCCCAGCACCCACATGGACCCTAACAACCTTCTGTAACTCCAGTTCCAGAGGATCTGATGCCTTCTGCTGGTGTCCATAGGCATGTACATGATGCACAGATAGATATACATGCAGGCTAAACACCCATACATACATACATACATACATACATACATACATATATACATAATTTAGAAAGTTGTCATCAGTTCCTAATATTGTTAAAACACACACATACACACACACACACCCCATGCATCATACCTCATGATACTGTCTCAGTGTTGAACAATGAGTAACTCAATTTGATGAATGTAACTCACTTTTTTCAAATCATATTGAATCTTCTTTTTCAATAATAATGAACACAAAAATGCCACTTTCATGACATAAATGCCCAAGTAAAAGACCAAAGTGTCTGGTTTACAAAGTTTACAAAGAACAACTGACAGTATAATTCAAATGGTAAGAATATTCACATACACACAGAGAAGAAAGCAACATTGAAATATGAAAAGGTTAGCACACATGTTAAGAAGTAAGTGGTTTCATATCAGCCAGCAACACACGACCTTTCAGTGTTCAAGAGAAACTAAATCCCTGAGAGTATATAACAACATACTAACAGCAGAACTGACTATAAGTTCTGGTTTACAGGGACAGGGATGTAGGTCCATGGTAGAGTGATTGTCCTCTCATAGCTGAGGCCCCAGGATCAAACACTAACACAGCAGATTCCTCAACATCATGAAATAAATATAAATGAATAAGTGATGGCCCAGTGAGCTGGAAGAACCACATTTTTGTGTGACATTCATGTTAAAATAACAGAAAATCTTAAGGCATGATGATCCTTGTTACAGAGCAGGTTTAAAGAAAAGTGGAACCTCACTTCCTCCCAGTTCCCAGTCACCTGACAGGGAAGAGCACTGTTCAGTCCAGTCACTATCTGTGTGTGAACTGCACTCTGAGTGACTTCTGCTTTCACACTGGACTCCAATGAGGGAACAGCACTCTGCAATGGGCTCATCTCTCAGGCAGTGCATGCACAGGCTTCCTCAGAGGGGATCAATGGCCCTGTTTCCTCATCCCATGATTTCAACTACAGATCAACCCCCTTTCCCTCCTCAGTCACCTCCACCCTTCCTACTTAAACTTTCTCCAAAGTCCCTTCTTTCATCTGACATGCTACAATTTTATCTGTTTATTCAGTTACCATCCATCCACCCCATGAAAAGTTACAGCAGGACAAAAGCCTTTGACTCCCTTACTCATTCCTGGACTTTGAACTTGTAGGATGCACTGGTGAATTAAAATAGACAGGAGTGAGGAACTCCCAGGTGTGCTGAATTTCTTGTTGACCTCCCTGAATTAAATGTCCTACGGGAATTAGTCATTATAGTTCCTCTAAATAAAAAAATCACTGATAAAAATGTTGTCTGTAAGTAAAAAGTTAATCATGTTCTACCTGCTTTATTGAATATTTCTATATGTCAAGTGGAGATGAAAAATATATGGAAGGGAGTAGAAGATAAATGTGATCCTGAAGTAGACTGACTCAGAAACAAATTGTTCCCATTTGATTTCTTTACAATACAATTAAATTAATTCATCAGATTACCTGAGTGACAGTGGCATTTAGAAAATCCAGGCTATTTTTGAATGAACGATAGATAATCCACCAAAGCTGATGCCAGAAAGGGGTGACACACGTGATCTCCTCCAAGGCTGAGCTCCACCCTGTCCTCTGTTCCCCCAAGAGTGGATCCAGTTCAGTTCTCATTTCTCTGTATATGGAGGACTGGGCATACATGTTGGCTAATTTTTCTGTGACTTGGTACTGTCTCTCAGAAAGCTCTGTATATTTGTCAGCTTTGGGATAAAAGTGGACAGAGACAAGAAACAGACAGTAATTTAACTGATTTTTCTGAGACACTTTTCATGAATAACATAAAATATGTACCAGTTTTTCTTTCAGACAGTCTCATGTACCCTAGACTGGCCTCAAAGTAGCTATGAAGCCAAGGGTGATCTTAAAATTTCCCCAGGTCCTCCTGTGTCTGTCTCAAGGGCTGAGATGGCAGGCATGCACTTCATACCCAGTTGTGTGCTGCTAGGAACAAAATTCAAGGCTTGGTGCATCTGAGGCAAGGACTCTACCACCTGACTTACATCTTCAACCCACCAATTTTGAGCATAATAAAATTACCCCTGTGTAATTCCTTAACAGATAGAAGAGTGTCCCTCACTGACCTGACTACTGTCATTATCCCATGGATACAGCAATGTGAATGACCTCTTCCCATCTGGACCCCAAGTCTTAACAAAGTCTTCCTTCCCTATGGATCTATGCTTCATGACATAAAAGTTGGTACCTGCTTTTTCCCACATGCAAATGTATAAATTGTCAAGTAACCTGTTTTTAAAATGTTATAAAAAAAAAGCCAGGCATCGTGACATAACTCTGTAATACCTATATTTGGGAGGTGAGGTAGAAAGAGCACACATTTAAGGCCAGTCTGGCTACATCTAAAACAATAACAAGGATAATATGACAAACAATAAGTACATTTATTTTCTAACAGAAATTTCCTTTACAAATGATAGTATCATATAAATTCTCTATTATAATTTAAATATAAAACACCAAGTACAACAGATAGAAACTCTATTAGCTAATTTTAGGACACTGAATTAACATAAAAAGCTATATTCTAAAGAACCACACTACTGTTTTTTGTTTCTTTGGTTGGTTTTGGTTTTGGTTTTTCAAGAAAGGGTTTCTCTGTGTAGTTTTGGTACCTGTGCTGGATCTCACTCTGTAGACCAGGCTGGCCTCAAACTCATAGATATCTGCCTGGCTCTGCCTCCAGAGTGCTGGGATTAAAGGTGTGCGCCACGACTACCCGGAGTCACACTACTGTGTTTTAATGAAATCAGTTAGGCAAAAAATCTGACTCTAAAAGATTCACATACCATCATGGCCTTCTTCCTCTGTGTTTAATAGATCTGAGAAACCTCCATTAATGATGTCCAGGAAGAAGTCTGCAGGATTGTTGTGGCAATCATATTTGTAACCTGCAAAGAAGTTGGCCAAGAACACAAACCTGAGGCCCCTCTTCTGAGAGTGGGATGGGGAGGGAGACAGAATCTAAGAGCTTCTTCCTCTTCTTGCACCTTCCCCATTAATTTATCCATTCCTATTATATATACACTCATAATATTTCAAAAATATCTGCTTCCCAGTCCAATATAAACATATATGTACATACACATTTATGAATATAGATGTATGCTGATGTGTATGTTCGACATACATATGTGAACTCTTTCTATGAAACAATCTTTTGAATTTGGCCTAAATTTTTATTGGACTCCAAAGATTCACAAATGTTTACACTTTCAAATGACAAAGATTAATCAAAACCAAAGAGTGATACAGAGAGCTGCTGGTACAATGGCTTTTACAGAGGCCACAAGAATATACAGCAGATGGCAATTGATAATTCAGGTGTCAACCCTCCAGGTGAATAACTCTCTGATGGAGGAATCTTGCTAAGCAAGGCTTATGGCCCCAGACTCTGAAAGCCAGGTGCATCTGTCTGTAATTTCTCTCAAGTGCCACTATGTTTCTTCCCTAAAAACAGCTGTGGGTGTTCTCCCCAGTGCCTATGACACTGTTGCTTCTGTCTGTAATTCCACATGTGCAAAAACAGCTGTGGTATCTCCCCAATACCTGCACTGTAATGTGTGATCTCATACAATATGTACGTGTGATGTGATATCATGATCACATCTCAATCTTATGGTCACTTATATCTGTGGCCTGCCTGAAGATGACCCATCATTAAGCTGTATAATTTTGATATGTAGAAAATACACTAGGATATGCTTCAAAATTAGATCTATTATTCCATGAGGACTATAAGATACTTAGGCCCTGTTTTTTATCTTTATTTCAAACTGACATAAAGAAAACAGCAATATCTTCTCAGTTCTAAAACATGCTACATACAATTGGCTGATTTTGAGCCTCAGAGCAAATTCAAAGTAGACTGAATGCTTCCTAAGATAAACCTCCAGAGAAAATACACAAGGAAATATTCCTGAGTGTCTATTTGTAGAACCAAGGCCAGACACAAAGCAACATTGGTGCCAGTTTCCTGCTTGATAAGTCTGGCTGATACAGACCTACTCCCTAAAAATTCCTCAGCAGCTTATCTCACTGGGTACTGTGCCCCCGGCCTCAGCTCACAGCCTGAACCTTGCATCTGGCCATTGCCATGGTTACTCATGCCCTCAGATGTAACTTGCTTTACTTTCCATGGGATGGATATAAGGGGAGACAGAACCAAGAACGAGGGAGAAGCTAGAGAAAAATAAAGAAAATTCCTCAGTGTGTGTGAGTCTGATTCCCTTAGACAAATAAGAGTTATTCCTAAGTCCTGCTACTCTGAAAGCATTCTTTTTGCAACCCTGGGTGCAGTTCAGGGAGCTGGTCTCTCAGGCTGCTATAGAGAGATGGAAAGCAAATATTTAAACCTATATTTGGAGATATAATCATCCATAAGTATATTCATATTTCACTAAAATGAAAATGACGGGATGAACCATTAAAAAATATTTCATCATCCAATCTGACTATGAAAAAAAACAGGCACACACAAAAACATGAGTCCACAGAAGCCCGACTTAAGGCATTCTAGCCCCCAAGCACTGTTTAAACCTGAAATACAAAGTTACTACTAACTTAAGTAATGTTGTGGGATGTCCTTCTATATGCTGTGAATATGTGATTGGTTGATAAATAAAATGCTGATTGGCCAGTAGCCAGGCAGGAAGTATAGGCAGGGCAAGCAAACAAGGAGAATTCTGGGAAGAGGAAGGCTGAGTCAGGAGTCCCCAGCCAGACACAGAGGAAGCAAGATGACAAGGCAGAACTTAGAAAAGGTACCAAGGCACGTGGCTAAACATAGATAAGAATTATGATTTATTTAAGTGTAAGAGCTAGTCAGTAATAAGCCTGAGCTAATAGTCAAGCAGTTATAAATAATATTAAGCCACTGTGTAATTATTTTATAAAGGCTGAGGAATTGTGGGTGACAGATTTGTCCTGACTGCAGGCAGGTAGAACACAGGAAAATCTTCTGACTACAAAGTAACATCTGCACAGCTCCTCAGAATCAGATCACATGAGGGGAAAACTGAAAACTGCCATCTGGTATCTGAGCAAGTACAGGATGATGCTGGTCTTTCCAAAGCTGTTCCAGTGACAGATAACTGGACTTGAGGCCAGCATGTTAATCAAGAGGGTCACCACAACTGGGAAGCAGGACAAGAGGCTCAGGAAAAATACTGTGACCCAGGCGTGACACAGGACAGCAGAAAGAAAAGAGAGCTGAACAACAAGCCTGTGCTGCACAGCTAACAGAATCCTGTCACCAAACTAACCAAAGGTATTTAAAATGGAGAAGCCACACACAGTAAGTCTGCACCAGGGTCAAGCAGCATTCCTGGAAGCCCTGTTCTCTTCCTAGATCCCTTGAATGAAGGAGCTCTCACAGCAAAAGCCAGCCATACCTGCCAATGTGAAGTACTCCAGTGCCTTTTGTGCAGGCCCGTGATACATGACTTTTCCTGAGGTCACTAAGGTGAGGCTATCAAAAGATTTGAAGATGGAGTACTGAGCCTGATTAATGGAGAAGATGATTGTCTGTCCCCTCATAGACATCCTAAGATCAAAGAGGGAAAAATCATAAGCCAATGGACATCAAAAATTTGAAATTCTCAACAAAATATTTTATTCCTAAAGTTATACTCTTTGTTTCCATTTCAGCTTGAATTTTTCTTAAAAACAATTCATCCCTCTTGTATTATGCACCTGATAGAGAAACCAAACTCCAAACTTTATTTAAAAGACTAAGACTTGTAAAGTGTAGAATGTCAATAGTCCAAGGGCCACTAGAGTGTTACTATGTAGATCTGTGGGCAGTTTTCTCAGACACTGAATCACAATATCAGGGAGTCAGTGCAAGGAGTCCATATCATGAACAGACAACTAGTGTGCTGGGCAGGTTCACTCAAGCCTGAGAACCCATGATAGAGCAAAGATTACAACTATGATTGTATGCACAATTCCCTTCAATCACTTTCACTTTCTGCCTCTTCAGGAACTGGTTTTCTTTGTTCTGAAACTGTGATTCACATTATAACCACTTGTTCTCCCTGCTAAACACTTCAGCAAGAACCTCATCTCAATTTTCACAATATCAGCATAAGGCATTTCTAATACAATTCCCCCCTTTCTGTTGATAAGGCTTAAAAGGTCAAGCAACAGGCCAAAGAGTCACAGTGATGGGCAAACCTGGGATTTGATCGTTGGTTTAATTCCATGATAGGAAAAAATAAGCTGAACTACCATTTCAGGGAGTCATATCTTCTGTTAGGAGAAACAATAACCCAAAATACTGTTTAAAACTCTTTGAAAATACATTTATAAAAGGTGGGTATGGTGGCATATGTGTCCTGGACTGACCAGCTCATCTACCACCCAGGCACACATCCAGGGCTTTGAGTTTGCCCAACCCATCATCTACCCCATCTGTGACCTGTTATAGCACATGTAGGGAATAGTGATCCTGCAGATCCATAGCTGCAGGATCTCCATGACTCAGGGTAGCAGCAGGATATCCCAGAGGAGTTTAACTGAGGGTTCTGCATTGACAGTGTACCAGAAACCAGAGGCCTTGAACCTCACGAGCAACTCATTATACAATAACCATTTGCAAGTAAGGCTGTCTGAACAGAAGGGTCTACTCCATGACACTCTGAAGCTCGCAATGCCACTAATACAAATGAAGAGGTGATGGTGTGGGGGAAGGCAGAGGAGTAAAGTGTTTGTTTTTGTTTCTTTTATTCTGTTGTTTTTATTGTTGCTTTCTTGCTTTTATATTGTTTGTTTATTTAATTTTTAATTAATTTTTTAAATTTTTGTTTCATTTTAAATTTTCCTTTGGCGGGTACTATGAGGGTGAAGTGTGGATATTGGGGAACAGACTGGAAGTTGGGTGGGATTGGAGTGAATGATATGAAATTCCAAAAGAGTCAATAAAGAATTATGTTTATTTTTAAAGCTGCATATGGTGGCATATCTGTAATATCTCACACTTGGGAGAATGAGGAGTTCCATGCCCACTTATGTTACATGAGACCCTGTTTCATTAAGACAAAGAGAAAAAAAGAAAAGAGAGTGAGGGAGGCAGAGAGGAAAGGAGAGAGGGAGGGAGGGAGAGGGAGGGAGG